CGGCCAAGGTGAAGAGCGCCTCCAGCGTCTCTGCTTCAACTCGCGCTACCTCCGTCTCGGTTTGAAGCGCCTCGGCTTCATCGTCTACGGCCACGACGACTCCCCCATCATCCCTGTCATGCTGTACAACCCCGCCAAGATGCCCGCCTTCTCCCACGAGATGCTCAAGCGCAAGATCTCCGTCGTCGTCGTCGGTTACCCAGCCACCCCTCTCGTTTCATCACGCGCCCGCTTCTGCGTCAGCGCCGCGCACACCAAGGACGATCTCGACCGTATGCTCACGGCTTGCGACCAGGTTGGCGAGCTCCTCCAACTCAAGTTCAGCAGCGGTGTTGCTGGCGGTGCGGAACCGGAGGACCTTCTCGAGATGAGCAAGGCCGCGGATGACAACAAGGAGACGATGCCCAAGCCCCCCAGGTGGAGGATCGAGGATGTGCTCAAGAGGACTGTTGATGATGTGCAAGGGACGCTGCGGTAGAAGAATTACATGTTTATATATGTCCTACGCAGCATCTTTCCTTGTATCCTCTTCTCATCAACGCTTCTTGTCATCCCGACCACACTTACTGGTTTCACGACGTTATTCAGCAAACTTTTGGAGCATTTTGGCGTCCCCCTTGTCGTGCGCGTCGGCCTTGTTCTGGCGCGTGTTTGCTTGCATGTATCATAACTCTTTTCTCGATTCAATACCCTCGCTGTTGGCTTTTTTACACTATTAAACTTTTTTTTATGTCCGCATGGCATTGCACTTTTCTTTCTGGAGATGTGATGATGGCTTTGCATTTGATGGATATGATTGTTCGTCTTTGTTCTTGTTTATGCTTGTGATTGCGAATATGCATTTTGAAGTCGTGGCGAGTGAGTGGGTGGTTGAAGCGGGTAGTAGGAGGTGATCGTAATGTGGTGGATGAGTGATTGGTGAAGGCAGAGGATAGAGAGTTCGGGATAGAGGCTAGATGGTAGATATGTATGTAGATTAGATGGTCTATAGCCATATGGTGGATACTGTAGGGCGATGAATGTAGTGACAACACTAGACTACAATCATCGTCCTCCAGTATCCACCACATGTCTACAGACCATCTAATCTGGATACTGGAGGGGCGATATGAGAGATAGCGGCAGCGGGGATAGTGAAAGACAATAAATGTCATGATGAGCACACCTCTCTTTCCTTAGTTTGAACGTTGTCACACTTGGCTTTTCGCACAAGACTATGCCTTGGGTCTTCTTTGAGATATGACACGTTTGATGTACTACGTTGTCTACATTGCCTCGTCTGTTCTTCTTCTGCATTTGCGCGGTTGGATGTTGGATGTTGGATGTAAGACGACGTGTACAAGGTGAAAAGCATAGAACAGCTGTTTGTGATGGGTATGCAGAGGAGCCGGAGGTAATACATGATGAGGCTGTTTCACGGATAGAACATAATCTTAGCTGAGTTTGGTTTAAGCCGGCTATGGAGTATGTGGGGACAACTTGATGTGGTAGTTGGTAGGGATTGCGATATCAAGTCGGTAATGTGCCGAGCAGTCATGGCGGAAACTTAATTCCAGCTGACTTGTAATGAACTGAATATGAAAGAGGCCAAAAGAGATGTGTAAGTCAGTAAGAAAATTCTTGCAAGACAGATCCTGCTCTGTAAAGTGAAGTAAAGTCAAGTTCAAAGATCATAGCATCACCAAATCATGATCAAGGTTTCCAGGTATCATAACTGCAATTCAACAATCAAACTATATACAACTCAAAGCCGTTCTCATAAACATTTCATACCACATCATCCAATCCATCATCCATCGCTAGGCAAAAAGCAAACTCACATCCAAGCGTTTAACCGCGGGTAAGAGTAAGACCGTAAGCAGACAGAATCTCGTTGACAGGCTGGAAGTAAGTGACACCTCCGCTGGAGCAGTCACCAGAGCCACCAGAGGTGACACCCTGGGCCTGGGCACCGCTGTACCAGGAGCCGCCAGAGTCACCGGGCTCAGCGCAGACGTTAGTCTGAGTAAGGCCAGTGACACGGCCCTCAGCGTAGGAGACGGTGGCGCCGAGCGCGCGGATAGTACCGCAGAAGACACCGGTGGTGGAACCGGAGCGGCAGACGCTGCCGCCGGTGGCGGTGGCGGTGCTGCCGGAGACGGGGAGGGTGCTGCCGGCGTAGTTGTTGATGCGGCCCTGGTACGTGTTGCCAGAGGTACCGCGGATGTACGAGTAGTCGTTGCCGGGGAAGCTGGAGCCAGCAAAGGTACCGATGGTGGCGCCGGCGCTGGTGGAGGCAGTGTTGCCAGTGGTACCGCAGTGGCCGGCGGAGACGAATCCACCGGTGACGGAGAAACCGACGGAGCAGCGGCCGGCACGGTTGATGTAGTAGGCGTCACCACCGCGGATGGTAGCGAAGGTGGTGGGCATGGCGGCAACGGTCTTGACCTCGTACTCGGAGTCGGCGAGACCAACCTTCTTGGCGAGGTCGGCAGCGGAGTCGGTGCTGTCGGCGAGAGCCTCGAAGACGAGCTTGTTGGAGGCAACGTCGACGTAGTAGGCGGCGATACCAGACTCGGAGCGCTTGGCGGACTCGATGTCCATGTTGTCAAGAGCAGCCTTGGCCGCCTCAAGCTTGGAGAGAGGGACCGAGACGAGGAGGGGCTTAGCACCGGCGGCCTCGACCTCAGAGGCGGAGGCCTCGTCGGTGACGGCAACGGTGAGGTCACCGTCAACGAGGTAGGCACCACCGAAGGAGGCACCGGTGGAGGTACGGAGCTGCTCGATGACATCGGTGGCCTTGAGCTCGCGGGCAACACGGGCGTGGGCCTGCTCGGCATCAAGTCCAAGGTCGCGCTTCATGGCAGCGAGGATGTCGGGGTGCAGGCTGTTGGCAGCAGTGGTAGGGGCACCGTAGACGATGGGCAGGAAGACTGCCACGGCAGCGAGGAAGTTGGTGAGAACCATGGTGAAGATACCGAACGTTTGATGTTGTAGAGGCGAGAGCGAAGGTAGTAGAGTGAGTGACACTGATGAGAGTGATGATTTGAAAACGACGGGAATACCCTCCTATACTTATACTTCTTCGTCCACCTCTGGCGTCGTGACTTGCATCATGTCTTCGTCCGTTGCTGTGTAAGATAGAGCCCTAGCTCGCATACACGGCTACGAACTGCCTCCTTCCTCATCCGCTACGTGGTGTGGTCCCACGTGCTTGCAGTATCAGAAAGGTAGTCTCCAAAAGGCACCTCACAAGAGCTGTAAATTGGATCGACCGCTAACCAGAATATCTCCTTCCTCTTCCGCTGCAAGGCATGTTTACCCCGGGGTGCTACGTTTCAAGAGTATCGGAAAGGTAAACCCCATAGGGCACCTCACAAGACATTGCCCCCACGGTGTTACACCCAAACAGGCACCTGACAAGAGATTCGCCCCTGGAGGCCATCGAGCTATCGATGTAGCAGCTCTTAACACCAAAGTTAACGGTCTGCAAGCACCCCTACGCTATCCAGGTACGCGAATCCGTTCAGGAAGGAGGTTGAGATACGACAGAGATCCGGTAGGGGTAGATAAGCGAGCTGGTCGGATAATGTGCCAGCCTTAGGGAATAACCCCGCACGGGCATATCCGTTCATGCAGAAGCCATACACACCTCTTTACCATACCTTCCTGATTCATCATGTGTCCCGCTGCCAAGAGCCAAGACCTTTATCTTCTAATATCGAGGGGCGCTTAGCAGATAGGAGCTTTTGCGATGGCTCTCTCTATTCGCCGACTTTCTTGTAGTGCCGGTAGTTTGGCGTTCTACCCTCTTGGCGAGCTCGGGAATTGCAAGGGCATAGTCCACCTATTCTGGTGTTTGTTCGTAGTCCAGGTAAATGGCCAGTAGATATGCGTGTTAATCGTGGTGATCGTCACTGGCAGCTCCCCAGGGTTGAACTTGTGCGCGTAGCGACAGTGTCTAGACTCGTAGAAAATCCCTATGAGTCAGGGAACTTTGCCGGTTCGTCGCTGATCAAGAAGGGTCCAGCTGCTTCTGAGCGATCAATCCTCGTGGTCTTTACCATTGGTAAATACGCGGTGGTAGAAGTTCAGTTAGCTCCAGCGCCGCCCGTCGAATACTAATCAACCTAGAATCCTGCTGCAGGAGGACCACAACTTCCTGCACACATGTGCTGGCGCTGTTCGGTCTACTGTATGGACGTTGTTTTTCCGCGTTACTAGTATCCGCAGCAGTTGTGAAGGATCAGAAGGGAGGGTCGCTCCGAGCGGGTCCTACACCCTCCTCCTGCCGGTACTCGTATTAGAATGCAAGCTTCCAATCAGCGCGAGGCGTTGGCAAGTATCCGTCAATGCAACCTCGGAAAACTAGATGGATGAGGGATAGCATACACATTGCCACAACCGCTCGTAGCGTCCTCATGCCCAGCCGTTTGCCGTGCCTGAACCAAGGACGGCTGGTACCTGGCTGCAAGCGTGGTGGCTGCAAGCGTGACCCCGTATTGCGCCATCGTTCTGCAAGCCGAGGTGAGTTCGCTGCGCACGCGGGTATGATGAAGTCAACGGCGCCGGCACCATGTTCGAAGTTGAGTCGAGTGGCAAGATGTTATGCTGCTGTATCCGCATTTGTGAAATGGCTGATGAGACGTGATGTGTGAGTACCTGCGGGTGCAGAGGTGATGGACGGAGGGGCAGACGTGGCCGACGCCGGCGAACATCATTTCCACTAGCGCAACGCTAAAACGCGCGACGTACCAGACGGGAAGGAGCTATACGTTGATGTCATGCGGACATGAAACAGACGGGTAAAAAGTAACATGTCAAAACCAGAGAGCTTGTTGGAAGGTCAGAGCTTTGTTGTGCTGTAAAAAGTGCATTGCATTCCACCTTGATGGTATCGCAGATCTAACGGCAGCCGAACCCGCCCGGTACTAAACCCCTGTTCTAACATCGCATCGGGGAGCTTCACTACAAGTACCAATGAACTTCATATACCGTCGTTGCACAGACTGGACATTGCCTCAACTTTTCCACATGCGTTTGAGTTGTATCAAATGTTCTCGGAGCCACTTCCTTGACCTCTGGCTAACACGTTGCCTTATCTTGTTCTTCGTAGTTGTGGCCGAGGATTCATGTAGACCAGAGCCAGCGGCGTGCCCGTGCGATGCTTCCGTCTGTCCCGGCTCCAGCACTTCTTCCGAGGGCTGGATGTTCGTCCTCTGAGGGGGTGTCTCCGTTACTGCATCCGCTGCAGGTGTTGCCCACGCGGCCTGCGCATCTGTGCCCGGTGCGAGATTTTGACGAACCTCACTTCGCTCGCGATTCTCACGTGTCAGTCTTTGAGACCTCGTGCGCATAACGATACCGTCGTCCTTGTCATCTTCTGTGGGCGTATCTGGGCTCTCGGTGGTCGACTGGCGCGTGTCTTCAATGCTTATATTCCTTGGCGCGTCTAAGGATGGGGCAGAGTTGTCCCTTTTGATGCCAGCAAGATCTTGTGAGACGTCTTCGGAATTTGATTGTTTCAAAATGGCATGCAGAATTTCCGAAAGATCAGTCTTGATAACGTTAATCATTTCCCGATTACCGGGTGCGCATCGAAGCATCTTCTTCTCGATAATGTAGAGCAATTCTTTCGCAAAGGTAGTCTGCGCACTTAAGCCCTTTAATGTTTCCAATCGCTGTGTGAAATTTAGTACCACCTTCTGCTTTGTTTCGGTAATCTTACCTCTTGAACAGCCTTTTTCACGCGCGGTTCCTTGTGTCCATCTTCCGTCTGCTCGATATTGAAAAACTTGTCAGTATACACATGTTCGTAAGTGATCACATCCTCGTCCTCCCTATCGAAACTGAATTTCGCAACTTCATCATATCCTTGGAGATACCAAACGCAGAACTCTAAGAATACGCATCCCAAGGACCAGATATCGTATCTTTGGGAGATCTTGTCGTCCATATCGAGATCGGGCGGTCGATAAGCCAGAGTATGGCCATCGATATCTGAGCGCGGAACAACCGACTTCGAGAATTGGGAATGATAGCGCGTGAGACCAAGATCGGATATCACGAGGAGATTAGGATCACGTCCGTGGTTCTGAAACCATAGGATGTTCTCAGGCTTGATGTCTCCGTGCCTTCCCCAATGGCGCTCGGCTTTGATAAGCGAACTAAATGAGGATGACCTTTCGTTCATCTGCCACGTAGTAAGTCCATGAATTCGACTGACTGCTTTTGCAAGACCCAAACATTGTTCGGCAGCCCATCTCTCGTCCAGGATAGACGGTGGTCTTGAGGAATATCTTTTCCAGAACTGTGCGAGGTCGCCGTCCGCCCATTCGAAGAGGAGGTAATACTGCGATCCGTGTTGAAATGTAAGAAGAAGCTTGATCAAATGCTTTTCTTTCTGTAATTGCGTGCAAGTTTTCTCGAGTGCAGAGAGTTCTTCTCTGTAGGCTTTGTGATCCTCGGCCTGTATAGCTTTCAAAGCAAACATTGGATTGACCTGGGACTGTAGGGCTTAGTATCAGTCAGGAAAATGTATGGAACAGGGACTAACATCGGATGATGGACAGTTGTGATGGTGTGGATGGATCTCAACCTTATGCACAACACCAAATCCGCCACTAGACTTGTACTCGAAAGTCTTCCAGGGAAGTCGAACATTCGACCCGAACTCGTACGAACATAGTCGGTCTTCTTTGATGTCAAAGAAAGGAACGAAGAAGATGTCCTGATAAAGGCAAAAGAGATCCATGTCCCTTCTATCCCAATTCGCCATTAAGCATCGACGTTCTGAGCTTCGAAGTTTGACCCACCCCTTGCTCCCACTTGCTAAGCCATCAAGCGGCAGCTGGTCGTTCCATATGTCTTCCCGTATGAAGTCATCAATATGATGAACTTGTTTCATGAAGACCAAAGTCCCTAAGATTCGACGCCGACTCCTACCCGAACTTGCATTTACTATACAAGCAAACTTATCTTGCAGTTCTCTAACTGTTGCGGGACTGTAGGTTTCGTCCAAGAGTAACACGATCGATTTGAGATTGAATATGGTTTCGAACGAATCCATGGGCAGATATTGCGCCGACATCTCGTCAGACTGACACGAGTCCAAGGATTCTTCCGTTTGTTTCCGTAGGCGACACTGTACGGACGTCGCTTCTGGCGGCTTCTGCATGTAAGCAGCTTGGCGTTGCTCGCGTTCGAGAAACACTTCTCCAAGAGAATTGGATACGATGGAATCGTAGTCGCTTGGTATCGAGGAAACCCTTAGGCGATGGTTCGCAGCTGCTTCGAAGCCCATATCTTCAACTTTGTGTATCGAAGACTCTTCATCGCTCCGACTGCTTTCCAGACCGGTGATCTGCCCATTTCCGTAGTCATCATCGTGTGCTGGGCGACTTTCGCCTTTAACGTCGGCGATGAAGATATCCGGGCCACCGCCAAACTCGTTGTCGTAGTGAAGTGGCCTTCTGGGTTTGAAATAAGTCTCGAGATGACCTGAGGTCAAAGGTAGGGTTGCGTTTCGTTGGTAACGTGAGCGCGATACGTCGGAGGGCTGAGCGGTTCTATCGACATGCGTATCGTAGTGGAGAGTGTCCATCTTCAGCGCTATGTGTGCAACCATAGCTCCCACACATTGGTTCTCGTTCACGTTTGCTCAGTATTCTGGAACACCAACTCGGGTCTATTCACATAACGCTCAGAAGGGCCGGTCCTTTCAATTATGACTGAGCGCAGTTGAAGAATCCAGTGGAGTGTGAGATTGGCGCACACAAATTATCGCTCTTGAGTCTGCACTGATCGGGCCTGGAATAGATCTTAAGCCTGTCTAGCGGTCGGAATTTTGCACATCTTGAGCCCGTTAGGCACTGGCCGCCCCCCAGTTCGCTCATTGCAGGTAGGCGACAAGGTTGTGATGTGCAAGCACCTGTTCATCTGTCTCGAATATGATTGGCGTTGGGGCCAGAACACTGCATGTAATGGCGCACGGCTCAAAACCAGCACAGCCCCACATACCCGCCCATGAGTCGATCAGCCGATGACGAAGAGTGCGCCGTGCCCCAGGTGAGTCTTAAGTATTCCAGGAAGCATTTTATGGGGTAAAAGACGTTCCTAGAATGGTTCAGACTTTCGGCTCTTGGAGTGTATTCTGTTACGGATCCGGAGCAAAGTCGCTTGGATGAGCTTTGAACTCTCCAATACATATGAATACAGTCCCGCTGCGGCGAAAGCTGACTCTGAGAGAGCCCCCAATAAACCCTAGAAGGACCAGGAATTTGAGACAATAAGTTTTATAGAAGTACGAGCCGTTCGAGAAGCCTGATTGAAGTCATGCTGGCGGCAGACCGCGCGACAGATCCCAAGGTCACCTATGTCGCGCTGCGAACACTCTCACCCTACCCTTACAGGGGTTGACCGCATTTCCTAAACAGTGCAATGGTAGTTCTGATGCCTGATTTATAAAGGGAAGGCTGAGTGGTTTTGGTTGGGTAAGCCTTGTTGCGCCATCAATATGTTGTTGCATCAGCACAGCCCCGTGGCCGCAACCGGTGAAAGCTCAGACAGCCCCCATGCTGGCGTTATCCAGTCAGGCGCAACCTGTCCCCTCTGACAGTTATAATACGCGGACATCGCCCGTACCCTGGACCCGGCTACGTCTGCTAGCGCTCGCCACGTGGGTTTATATGTCCTTACCTAGGTATTGTCTCTTCGCTCAGTTTTGCCTCTTCGCCATCAAAACCTTTTGGCTTCATATCCTGATCATTTTCAATGTCCAAATGGCATCTAAGAAGCGTACGCGAAAACACGAGTGTGAAGGTCTACACAGAACATACCGACCGCATACATCCTCGAGATCTTTCGGAAAGCCTTGCAAAGAACGTGGGGAAGGACCAATTTCGCGTTTCGCTGCGAAAGAACATATACGTCATCTACATCGATGCGCGAAGTCACGAAAGCAATACCGTGAGCACAGCGGATAGTCTCAAAGGCCACGCTGATACATGGACACAGAAAGAGAAGACGATCTCAACCGATGACAAAATGCCTCGCAAGTCTACGATCGAGCCACAGACGTATCAGCAGAGGTTAGAAGATTTCAAAAATGCCGAGGAGATCTTGTGCGATGTCAACCGCCGCGTTAGTGAGGAGCGTTGCGTGCAGCGGCAAGTCGAGAGAAGAGAAGAGTATTTCGGCAAAAGGGATTCTTAACTATCGAGATTAGCAGCATCTGGTGTAAAGCGTTTCTTTTGGTACAATGCGGTGCTCAACTTTCATGAGAATTTATCAAGAACAAGTTCAATCAATACAGTCAATCTTAAACGTCTCTGAGGCGATATATCTAGCACCCCATCATACCACAAACGCCTTTGGCTTACAACGTGTGAGTCGATAGGCATGCGGCTAATGTATATCCACCCATGATCCTTCATCCTTGATGACACTGGAGTCGAGTGACGCAACTCCAACTCTCTCCCAGATAAGATCCCTCTTGTCGTTCAGCGATTGATGAATCACCAGCACGTGGTTCTTTGGGCTCACCTGCCCTTGTCCAATTCTATCTCTTCCAATGACAACGCATCGAAGACCTTTTGCCTCGAAATCCACATCATCGTCAAACCTGATGCCTATCGCCATGTCTTTCGTCGAGAGATTCATCTCCCTAGCCAAACCCGAAAACTTAAATATTTTGTTCTCATCGGGGGTATCTTTCAAGGTCACGAAGGGGCTTTTAAAGTCGTCAGCCCAATCAACCTCTTTGAACTTCAACTCATGAGTTGCATCCAAGTACTGTATCTTCCCTTCTTTCGACAGTGATGACCAGCTGGGAACCTTTCGGTCAGGTATTTGGGGAATGCGCTCCATGCGCTGCGGATTGCGGCGTTTCCATAGCAAGCCTCGAGAAAAGTACGCATCGAAGAGTCCGTGAGCTGCTTTCATGTTGAAAGCGTGCGAAAGTCGTTTTTGCAACCCTAGTATAGCGACGGATCGATCCGCAGGCTCGGTGAAGGCTAAACCCGAGTATCGTTCGTACAGATCTTGTATGAGGAGCTGCCTACCGTCTTTGTAGTGTCCAACGGCGGTCGTTGGGAAGTTGGCATCACCCAGAAGAGCCCCTCTCGAACTGCGACGGATGATTAGCTAAGCAAACTAGACAGCGACCTATTTCATTCGTTCCGCAGACTTACTTTTTAAGACGGGTCAGAGTTTCACAGTGTATCCCACCACCGCACTCCCAGTAGACTTGCTTCGAAGTAAAGAACATCGTGCGACGAGATAATGCCCTCTCTTGCAGTACCCAGCCTCGGCTGTTAAGCGGCGAGAGCTCAACATCGTTATGGAAGTTGTCGGTATCTAAACAGGCATACATCATCCCGGATGTATTACTAGGTACCTTCAACACTGTTCGAGGCTTGCGGTTGGCAAGGAACCCTTGGAGCGATGATTCGGCTGAACTTGCGCCAATTGTGAAGAATGCGGCGCTGAACACCTGTTCCATCTTGCTCGCTTCGCTTTCCCAATCCGTTTTGTCGTCCTGGACGATGCATAGCGAGTCGATCCAGATGTACTCTACGCAAAGTCTCCGTGTCACAGTGATTGCGTCGCGGAACGTACGTGGCAGGGCCTCGAAGTCAATCCCTTCTTTGCGGTGCGTGAAGTTGTTCTTGTAGGTGCAGAATTTCTGGTGCGGTTCTAACTTCCCCCAGCAGTGACTTAGGGCCGCGTATCGCGATGGTTCGATGTCTGCTGTTTCGACGAGGCGAAGCTGTCTGCCCACTTCTATGAGACGAGTCGGCATAGTCAATGTTTCATCAGTACGTCGACACTGGACATGCTCTTTGTCGCAAACTTGGATCCACCCCTTCAAAAGCGCATAGAATTCGGCCGTGTCTGTATCGAAGAGCTGCGCAAGGCCCAGTTGTGCGCCCTTAGGAATTGGTACTTTTGAATCTGCATTACGCACGTCAGTGCGTTTAGTAATGTCTGAGAGAAGGAATCTTACCTGGCTCGCAGTACAAAGAGAGAAGATTGGGCCCGTCTTTGATACCTACGTGAGCAGTATCGCGGCGTAGGTTGACTACTCCTGGTGCTCTCAAATGCTGAGTGTTCAATGCGTCCTGAAGCATGCTACAAAGCTCGCAGGCCCTCGCCTTCTCCTGCAGTACTTCAAGATCACATGCCGTGTCGAACAAATCCATTGAATCACTCGAGTAGCAGTGCTTGCAACGGCCATCATGAACACTGTTTGGTATCGGGACAGCTTTATCCCACCCGATGGTATCAAAATATCTTGCAGCAAAGTCATTGTCTGGAAAGGACGTCCAGTCATCGTTGAGTTTGCTTGAGCTCTGAGCCAGGTCACCGAAATTCTGCGACGGATCTGATTAGTAGCGCATCGAACCTTCATGACGAGTAGCGAAGCTTACATACTATCAATGTTGTGTTAGTTCATTCTCTATAGATACTCTTCAGACACGATGTTAAGATTGACGTACTTCTTGATGATTGGAGGCCTGTGACACCTGACTATGCAGGTTGTCGCCAGATTGCCTGAAGGTCGGCTTGCGAACAGTGAGTTGAAAGACATCTGGCAGTTCTGGCTCCAGACTGCCTGCTGCTTCAGCAGTCGTACTCTCTGCTATTGTCTGAAATGGACCCAAAGTAGGCTTGGCAGCAAGTCGTTGGTTAGGCACCGCAAGCTTACCGTTCTTTTCATGAAATTCACTGCGTTGGACGCTACCCCGCCGTGTCGCGTTGGGATCGGGTTGAAAATATCTAAGCTTATCTGGAGAAGGCGACAGGAAGGTCTCATCAGTCTGACATCTTTGAGAGATCTCGGCAAAGCAGTCGTGTACTTTGGTGGCGCTTCCTCGGCAGTCTTCCGGTACATGTTCTTGATTTCGTGAGACTTTGACGACGAGAAGCCGGGTTTCTACCAGCTGGAGGATGCATTCATAAGCGGAACCGGGTTTGAAATATCTGCTCAGGGCGCCCATGACCGCGACGACGTGTTCGTGCACCATGTATTCGCCATCTTCGCGTTCTGAAGCCTTCTGCCAGAAATACAAAGTGTCTCCCCTGAACACTTCCACATCTCTAGGGCCGCAAGCAAGCCATATGAGGAGTTCGAGGACAACGCATCCTAAAGACCAGATGTCATATTGGCGTGACCGAGTCCCGTATTTCGGTGATTGAGGGTCATGTGGATCTCGTGTGCGACGCTGTTGATCCATTTCTGGCGGTTCGTATCGAGAGGTGCCTGACGGTGTTTTGGTCCCAGATTTACGAAGTTGAGTGTGTTGTTCCTTCTCATGAAAAGCAGCAAGACCGAGGTCTGCGATCTGCAAGGTTCCTCCATCGATATTGCTACGATCGAACCAAAGGATGTTTTCTGGCTTGAGATCTCCGTGTCGGATGTTATCATTGTGAAGTGCTTCCAATGCAGAGCAGATTCCTACGAACTGTCGAATCTGCCATAGAACACGGCTCTTGTTTCCCGCATGACTTGGGAATTGCTTCCAATAATCGCCTAAGTTGCCTCCATCTGCCCAGGGAAAGATGAGACATCTGTTATTGCCGTGTCGATAGCCTGAAATGGGCTTGATGAGATGCGGTGAGTTGTATTTCCGTAGCCGGTCAAGATTCTCCACTTCTTTATCGAAGAATGCGGCGCGGCTGTAGCTGGGATTGGGGTCCTCATCGCCCTCCTTAGCTTTCTTGACTGCGATTACTATCGCATCCATCTGCAGACGCTTCCCATCCTGATCAGGTTCCTTAGAGGTCCAAATGAACGTCGACAGTTTCGATGACGGATCGATGTGCTTAGCGTGAATGACAGTCCTCGTAACCTCTCCAAAGTACCCACTGCTCGCGGGTTGTGGTGCTACCTCCAAGAAAGGCAACCATTGCCCCACAGGAACTTGCTGATGGAATTCAGTCGTGCCAAAAACAGGGGCCGTGAAACGATATTGGTAACTGGCAAAGAGTTCCTTTTCGCCGCGTTCCCAATGGTGAAAAACGCAGTGCCGTTTACTTTGATCCGGCCCCTGCACAGCAGATGCTGTATTGTCTCTATTGAACCTGATTGGTAGTGCATGATCATCAAACCCGTTGTCTTGAAAAGATTTGAGTTCCCGCTCTAAAGATTTTCTTTCCATCAGGACGAGGATCAGGAACAGCCGCAGCGCTTCGTTCTGGATGAACCTTACAAGGTCGTCCATGCTCGCAAAGGCTTTCACGGCACCGAAAATGGATTGAATGCTGTCTTCGGAGGCAAAATGGCGCATCTCGTCGTTGGGGAGGAATTTCTTGTCTTCCCAGTTGTCGCAAAGAGCGTTATAGATATCCGCGGACAGATTTTGAATCCCGCTACCTGTAATCGGCACATCCTCAATCGAGATATTGGTATCGGGGCCTCCCGTGCTCGAGCTGTTTGTCGTATGCTTGGAGATACCTAGACGATAAGTTAGGTTTTCATGATTGCATTGTCATTTATTGCTAGACGTACGGGATGCGTGTTTGGGACCCAGTCCCAGACATGACCGGAGAGACCTCACCATCTTAGTCAGTAAGTCGACTATTGGCCGCATCATTCTGAGTGGATAGCAGAATCAGGGATAAGTAAGCCGGTGCGGGCTCGTCTCGAAGAAACCAGGCATCTTTTCAATCTTTATGTCTGCCTGGAACGTGATTATAGGAAGGCTGAGAATCGTGCCGTACATGCGCTGCAACGCAAGGTAAGCTGCGCATCTTCTTCGACCATGCAGAGTGAGTGCTGCCGTTATATCATGGATGTGATTCGTGGCGATCGCGAGGGTTGAGCAGCCTCTTAACGTTAGTCTAGACAATTCCGGCGGAAAGCACACGGCAATAGAATGTGGATGCATTGCAGGCTCGCCTATAGACCCGGCTGACCAATGTCGCGTCGCTGTGGTATTGCGCATGCGCATTGTGGGATCCAGCCTTTCTTCGAAGGACCTCCAAACAGGTATTAGCTGAGAACTACGGCTGTGCTTATCTAGCCACCGAAGTCATCCTCCCACAAGTCGGTCAAGATTTGGGTGTAGCATGGTGGCGCTAGATATCGGTAGGTATCTCCTGCAATAACGTAAATCAGCTCGCCTTTTCACGGCGTCAACGTCCATCTCGAAGACGGCAGCCTTGACGTTTACCTCCGTAAGTAGCGACGGCAAGAGCGGAGACGGCGGTCGCAAACACCGTTTTGGACATTCCAACCTCCCTCACACTTATAGTTTCTCGCAGAAAAAAATCAGGCTCCAGCGCGAAGCCCGGAAGACCGCGGTCGCGAGGATCGTCTCGATGGCCTTGCTGAGCCCGCGCAGAGCTTTCGTATCATGAGCGTCTCACCTTGCTTTTTGCGGGAAGCGGGAAGGCATCGGATGGCCAGCGGGATCTCCGTGATCGACTGCCGACCCTCGTACACATTTGCACTTCATCATCTGCAGCGGCAAATCACTCGTGAATTCCAAAGATCGAGGCAAAGAATGTTGAAAACGACCAAGTGAGTCGGATGCGCGCATCTTTGCTCGAGTTTATTGAGGCGAAGGTGGCTGGTGCCGGCGCGCACAACCTCCGTTAGCTCTTCGCTAGCGCGACGCTAAAACGCGCGGCGTTCCGGACGGGCAGGAGCCATACGTCGCTGTCATGTGGACATGAGACAGACGCACCTCATACAAGAAAAGGCCTATACTAGGTGTGTGGAATGTGTTAAGATAGATTAAAGCATGCAAAGTAAGTAAGCTGACGTCGATGTAAGCTCTAGGGTGTTTAGTATTTTCCTATCAATTGGTGGACGGGCCTTGAGTGATATCACATAGGTACATTGCACCCGTCCATTCTGTGAGATAAGAGTTATGCCCACAACGCTACCCTAAAGACATCGCAAGAGGCCTACGATTTGCAGGCAAACTTGTCCCAAACCGCCGCTTTCCTCTTGTCGTCGGTCGCCAGATCCTCACACTGTGGCGCAGAGCGTTTGCAGAACAGATCCGAGGTGAAGGGAAAAGCAGAGTACCAGCATGAGCAAATCTTACGCAATCTTTCCTTCTCGGTAATATCGACGGGTGCCTTTGTATCTGATGTGCCTTCGATGGATGTTGCTATACGCCAGTAGCTCGTGTGGTTGTAATCCGAACACTTGAGGTCTCCGAGAGGAACGTAGTCAGTCAGCCACGGTAGATTGCCCTCTCGGTCATCCGGAGTAGTGTAGACACCGTAGAGGCGGTCGTTCAGTTTGAGTACACCACCACGTCTTTTGGTGGCATCCGTGTCGCACTGGGGTAGTTAGTAGCTGGACTACGATGCATTCGAGATGAGACTGGTATCTTACGTTGCGTATAATGTCTTTGTACGTCAAGCGACAGTGGTCGATTTTGGCCTCATCCGTTGCTCCTTCAAAGAACTGTCTAATGTTCCGAGGTTGTATGTACAATGCGGGATCAGCGACCGCAAAGAATCCGAGATGTGATTCAGGATTTGTTCCCTCGAGTGAGTACACTCTACTAGCGTTACGAAAGTCCGAAGTGTCCCGCACGGTCGGTGGAACTGGGGTTGCTACGTCCCACGTTTTAATTATATCTTCACAGAACTGTCCGGCGAATTCGACCGCCTTGTTTCCATCAAAGTCTTTCGCGTAGGGATGCTTATCCGAATCTTTGCCGAAGCAGGTGAGATCGCGGTTCGCGTCCCTATTGACCAACTGATCCTTATAGGCTTCACCAAAAGCCTTGATAGACTGAAGATTCTTTTGCGTTCCAGGGCTGTCTGGCATGTTCTTAACGTAAGGCATCCTTGTGATGTCGGCCTTTTGATCCGGACGGAGTAGATTCTCAATATGAATACTCTTATCAGGCTGCAGTCGAGACACGTTGTAGTTTGGCTGAGATTGCGTACGTTGACTAAAGAACTCATTCAGAAGGATTGAGGCGCCCTCGTCGCCGCTGAAGGGAACTGCAAGTTCGTTATATCCGAATGCTTTCCCCGCCACATCCGGAAGGAAAGCGAACTTTCCCGCGATCCTAGGTGCTAGGTACTTAGATAGCGCGAATAGAGCATAGTTGTCCGCTAGATCGATTAGATCATGAAACGCTTCTGGATGTACAGTATAACATACCGTTGACTGATGCCCAGTCATGGACACCATCGTTTACTCGAGCCAGGACCTTCGCGCAGAATATCCCGTAGCACGCGGACCACCTGTCTACAATCCCCACACCGCTTTTCTGCGAGGCGTATACCCAGAGATCCAGGAGTGGCCAGTTGAGGTCGTCAGATTGTGGGAGATAGTGTAACAATGTGCGAAGCAGTGTAGTTGCTAAGCGTTATCAGCGTATGTACTATGGGGCTGCAGTCTTCAACGAGAGGCTCACCCTGATTCTCATGATGAATACCCAAATTGTATCGAGGCCGGAGATCTGTGGGATGATTGATCATCCTCTGAATTTGATGATCAAGTGGGGCAAGTGTGAAGTAATCGCCACAGAACACAAGTTTGGCTCCAGAGTCTCGCCTCTCATCCGGTCCTGATTCTCCAATGCCTCCTATCATGAGTGGACTGCTGCATGCTGGATCTGTGTTATCCAAACTGCAGCGGCCTTGAAATTCGGGAGGGTTCTGCGCAAATTGCTCAAACCTGTTGTGGACGAACGTCACATTTCCCTCGGACCCAGGACCCCATATATCCGGAGAAGAAGAATCATCTTTATGATCCGTCTTGTCCTTGACAGTATCCAACACCATCTGCGATAGATCTCGCAGTGCCTGGTTTATCGCATCTTTGAGATCTGGAGTACATGAGTCGTCGATGGAGGCTGTTAAATCGTTGGACGAAGGAATGAGGGTCCCTGAGGCCTGAGAACCTGTTTGTGCGAGAGTCTGGGAAGGTGATTGAGGATCTGCTTGAGAGGAAGCTTGTAAGCTGGCCTGAGAAGCTGCGGAGGCCACTTGAGAAGCCGCAGAGGCCGCCTGGGAAACCGCCGAGGCCGTTTGCGAAGAGCTTTGTGCGGCGCCATCTGTGATCAAAGAAAGTATCAAGAAGATCGTTAGGATTAGGCCATTCGGTCGAACCACTGACGTGGCTAACGAGCGAAGTTTTTTGACGGCGTTGAACATGTTGGATGGCGAGTGGTGGGAGAGGGAATAGCCGTAAAATGGCAGGGCACTAAATAAATATGGTATGAGATACAACAAAGATGTGAGGTGATGTTGGCTATTTGGTATTCGCGTGATGGTGTCTATCGAAGAGAGATTGTAGGAAGGAAGAAGAGGTCTGCGATGCGAGATCTTGTACTCAGCGATGACTATTGCGAAAGACGTGGCAGAATAGTTTTGCTCATATATCGGAGTCATTATGACTAGAGCTCATCAGCCGAATGACTGTTGCTTCGGCCGTAATTCACATCTCCCATCCGTCCCAAATCGAGAGGATTCGCTTGAGGTGGGCCTGCTCATCTGGACCTGTGAAGATCGACTCGATGGCTCTCTCGCAAAGTGCTCTGATATCTTTTCGGTCCAAGTGGAAATGCTGCGCTGCGAAGTAGTACTCTTGCGAGAGAGGGCTGCAAAAGACACCTACATCATCCGTCTGCCGGGTATTAGTCATCACGCGGAACACACAGTTTCCAGAGCTGAACGTACGCTCAGAGCGACGGGAACACTACTGTGTCGCCACACTCCAAAGTGGTGGTCCGAGTAAGTGCCCGGGATCATCTTGGCATGGACGTTACAGCTGAGGCACAGCTCAACTCCGATTCCGTGCAGCTCGATAGTCTTTTTGAACTCATCTTTGACATGTATGACATGACCCAGTCTGTCAGGTTGCCATGACAGGAGTGTTTGCAGCTCCAAATCCGAGGAAGAATTTTCGCTCTCGGCAAAGTGCAGCGTGATCTTCAGTCCGGCAGCCTTTGCCCGAGCGAAGCTGTCGCCGAATATGCGAATGTCACCTTTCGCTGGGTCGCCGCATAGGTCGACACCAACAACGCCGGCGGACTGATACTTGATAGCGAGATCGACGACTTCTTCCGCATCTGCGACGTTGTTGCGACGGTCGATTGATAGTATGAGGAAAGCTCGCATGGTGTTGTTAGCATCGTCGTTGTGGGCATTGAGTATGTCCAAAACGGTCTTCACGTAGTCGTCTTTGGTAACGCCTTCTCCGAGGATCGCTCTTGGGGTCGTTCGAAGCTCAACGTATACTACCCCATCATCCTGGAAGTCTTGCAACACAGCCCTGGTGGAGTACCTAGATTGATCAACCGCAGCTCACCATACACGTCCGTGTCGACAGACATACTGGATGCTCGGCAAATCACTGCAAAGGCGATAGATGTATGACGAAAACAGCGGGAAGAACCTAATCTAGCTGTCAGACGTCTGCTAGCATTTTCGCGTGGTGAGCCAGTTGTTTGGGACGACCGAGCGGGTAGCGATCATTTGTCAGGAGAACATTGGCCGCGAAATCGCTTGCGCGATCGTCTTGGCCCATGAATCCCCAACGGCACGCCGGTGTTACAGCGAGAATTCCGAACGACGAGCAAATCGAGCTAGGCCTACGTTTTGATATCGTAGTCGACCTTGCCCGCGGGTATGGCGACCAAAGGGTCCTCGAGGTCGAAGTCAGGCTGCCGTGCTTTCTTTGTCTCCCATATGGCGTGCAGGCAGTCGCGACTGATGCTGCCGGTTAAGTGGGCATGAAGCTGAGTCGCGTCATTAGCAGCAGCGAACGGAAGTCTGAGCGTCCTTGGCGCGATGACTAGGGACCAAGGAGGCTGGAGCAGTACCTCAATCTTGGGCAGGCCCTTGGTGAAGGCAGCGTCGACGGGCAGGTCGTGTGCAGTCGCGATGGGGAGTGCAGCCATGCTGGGGAACACGGCGGTATTGGTGGCGTGGGGATGGTTCTCGAAGCGATAATGGAAAGGTGAATAGACTTCAGGAGGAGGCCTGGGGGGTATAGCGGCGGACGCGGGTCATAGTGCCAGCCGAGGCTGCTCGCTGCTCATTCGTCCGTCGCCCAAAGGAGGAGGTGCGCTGCAGGAGATTGCAGCGCGCGCCTTCTTCGTCAAGGTCTGGACAGGAGCAGAGCATAGCAACACCACGTTCGCGCCTCCAGCTGTGCAAACACCCGACCCGACAGCACGCAGGGCTCCTTCACGTTGCCGCCCCTTCACATCGCTCACGTGTCACGGCAGGTGTTTGCAGTGGGCATCTTCGCGACAGACTGGCGGAGCACCGCCCTTTGATCTCCAGCGCTCGCTGGTCGGCTAGGCCAAGCTAAGCTCACCCCGGGCCGCTCCTGTACCTCACTCATCTCCAAGCACTCACCCTTCCATCCTCACGCCCCCACGACCGTTTGCCAGCCGCCGCTCCCTCTGCGCAAGCAATTGATTCTGCTCTGCGCGCGTCTAGCCATTGCTGCCGCCTGTCCATCGCTCCTGCCGCCGCGCTCTCTCTCGCTTCCGGCTGCCGCGCTCCCTAGGAGGCCCCTGGATTCGCCTGCCTCGCCGTTTCGCGCCGCTCGCGACAACACCCTCACCACCAGCACACTACTAATATATGGCCGATATGAACCAAGAAACGATCCAGCAGAAGATCCAGCTCGCCCGCCGCGACGCTGAGGCGCTCAAGGACAGGATAAAGCGCAAGAAGGATGAGCTCGCTGACACGACCCGTATGTTCTTTTTCCAGCCAGCGTGCTCACCGCATCGGAACCACGTAGACGGCTAACACAAGAGCGCAGTTCGCGATGTCGCCAGAGACCGTGTCGAGGCTCTGCCGCGCCTCACCATGAAGACTAAGCGCACCCTCAAGGGCCATCTGGCTAAAATCTACGCCATGCACTGGTCCACCGACCGCAGACATCTCGTCTCCGCCTCGCAGGACGGAAAGCTCATCATCTGGGACGCCTACACGACCAACAAGGTCCACGCCATTCCTCTGCGATCTTCCTGGGTCATGACGTGCGCCTACTCCCCGTCCGGCAACTACGTCGCCTGTGGTGGTCTCGATAACATCTGCTCCATTTACAACCTGTCGGCGCGGGAAGGCCCAACACGCGTGGCACGCGAGCTGTCTGGCCACTCGGGCTACCTCAGTTGCTGCAGATTCATCAGTGATAAGCGCATCCTTACATCATCCGGTGACATGACCTGTGTGTTGTGGGATCTGGAGACTGGCTCCAAGGTGCACGAATTTGCCGACCATCTCGGTGATGTAATGAGCTTGAGCATCAACCCGCTCGACCACAACCAATTTGTCTCCGGTGCTTGCGACGCCTTCGCGAAGCTCTGGGACATCAGACAGCAGAAGTGCGTCCAGACCTTTGCCGCGCACGACTCTGACATCAACGCCATCCAATTCTTCCCCAACGGAAATGCCTTCGGTACCGGTTCCGACGATGCCTCCTGCCGTCTGTTCGACATCCGCGCCGACCGCGAGCTCGCATCATACCAGGTACGCCCGCTGACATATCTGGCACTCTTGGCATTTGGATTACTAATGTCTGCCATAGATTCCTGAGCCCGTCTGCGGTATCACATCCGTAGCCTTCTCCGTCTCTGGAAGACTGCTATTTGCTGGTTACGACGACTTCGAGTGCAAGGTAAGCAGTCAGCGCAGCCCCCACAGGTTCCACAGTCTAATAATATCCAGGTTTGGGACGTACTTCGCGGCGAACGCGTAGGCACATTGCAAGGACACGACAACCGCGTCAGCTGTCTCGGCGTTAGCAACGACGCGCTCAGTCTATGCACTGGTTCATGGGACTCAATGGTAGGTTCTCTCGTGCTCCCGTCTGCATCACACAACTGACTTGGCATAGCTGCGCATTTGGGCATAAATGCCGTCAGCCTCCCGAACTTCCACGACGCCATGTAACGACGCCAATCCGAACGTGTGCGCCTTACCGTAATATTGGCAAACTACAACCTACGACAGCGATCTCCGCAACTCCTGGCATACCATACCCCTGCTGCATCTTATCAACCAGGAGACTGAGCGCTGCCATACTCTAAGAATATAATACTCGCACCTGTTGGAATCGTCGATGTGGCTACGGTGCCAACCGATGTCCCGGCGCCCGGAATCTTTTTGTGCTCAAACTACTTTTTCTTTTCATACCACTGTTCTATTCCTTTCTCGACGGTGCGAGCATACTACTCACACTCGTCTTCATGTCCGGGCCGGCTGTTCTACGTACATGAGTAGCACCTATCTACATCAACCTTCGACATAGTCTTCTCCTTGCGTTCTGCCTGATCATTAAAAGCGACCGATTGTACTTGCACTTGCGTGGGAAGAGATGGGGCTGTGCAAGACGGGGAGCTTCATTACTGTATGTTTCGGATTCTACTACGTGCAAATGGTTTTGGAGAATCCATGGATGAGGGGGACTGAATGGACGGATCATGGCTTTCTGGCGCATGGGCTTTCAATGTGTACGATTTGATTGGGTTGTGAAGGATGAGTCGGTAGTCAGCGAGTTTCTATATACCTCTTTTAAGTTTATCGAACGCTTTTGCATGATGTTAAGATGACTGATATTGCCTTTTCCATGAACCTTGGAACGTCTCGAGCATTCCAAGGTTTGAGCGCGCTCAGTCCAGGTCAGCTCGTGAAAGAAGTAATCAACGTCAACGTGCCTTCTAGACCTTGTCGCAGCTGTTGTTCGGCGCTCTCAGCGGTTACTGTAGCCTCAGCGGTAGAAGTTACTTTTCGCATGCTGGCCTAGGCCATCGTGCGAGGCATTAACAGCTCCAAGGTGATTGCACCACCTGGGATGATACCCGCTCGCGAATCTAGTGGCGCGCACACCGTTATGCATATGACTAGGTTGCCCAGGGGACCCCAATTGCCCGTCCGGACGTCACTCCGGGACAAGCAGTGACAAGCCGGAGTATCAGCGATCAGAGCTTATTGCGGTGATGGTAGCGTGACCGTACTTTAGGCGTTCGTCGGGCAGGGCTGATAGATTATGGTTGTGATCTTCATGGATGACAGCAGAGCGACCGAGCAGAAGACGCAGGAGCCACGTCGTATTTTACTTTCACCCGGGCGGTTATGCAACGTCTTTTCTATTTTCGAAGAGAAATCAATGTATCGAACCATCGTCTTTGGCATTAACGTGCCTCAGCTAATGCCCGCAATCTTAGGCTGCATGGCAACTGGACCCTGAAATCGACAAAAGGAAGCGCCTCAGCCGATGCAGGAGTCGATCGGAGAATAGGAACGCGATGGATGGCATTAATGCTTCTAGAAGCGAGCACAGAAGGATTCGATTGCATGTGCACCGGGGGACTCGCATCCGGGATGTGGCCGGGACGAGAATATCAAACAAGACCGAAAGAGAGATCCCTCGGCCCCTTTTGGTCGGCGGTGCCATGGAACTCTGGTGCTGCATGACAGTTGGTGCCTCGAGAAGATTGAAACATCCAGAGCGCATGAGAGGGTTAGCAGAGGCGTAAGGTCATTGTGACGTGTAGCCTCCAAACAGCAGCGAGGATAGGGCAGGTTGATGCTGCGACAGACGTGTCGAGGAGGCGTGTAGCAAGATAGTTCGGCATGGTGTTTCAGCAGTCGTCAGGCTTTCACGCGGCGCCCCAAGCCTTTGCGCGCCACCCGCGGGTCCTCGATTGGGCGGTGTACAGGCGGGTGAGCGTGTTTCGCACTCGAGCATCCTGTTTCATAAGGCCGACATGCCTTTGCGCTTCGCCAATGGAGTGCGATGCGGCCCCGTGCGGGCGTCTAATGCATCGTGAAATCGGCCGGTCAGCATCAGCCCTAAAACAGCACCTACCAAGCACACCCCTACACACCGTACCGCCTCGACCACGTTATCCACGTACGCACGTTGGAATCCTCGAGGGAATTCTCCCGTGCGCGTCCAATTGCATCGCTGAAACCCCAGCGCGTACTCGAAAATAGCCCTGCAAGCACGCGCGCCAAGGCCTGTCATCTAGCGGAGCACCATCCCAGACGACCGACCGCAACCTTGCAACGACTCCCTTTCCTTCTGCCCACCACAGACCAACGCGTCACCAGACACCGGGACCTGTACACGGACTCTGCAAACAGCTGACGCTGACCGTCCCCCTTCTCCACACATATATCAGTCCGGCGCCCGTCATTCGGGTCCCGCTCTTCTTTTTCTTCCGTCATGACTACAGCCGCTCAAGACGAATTCAACGAACTGATCCGAGACAAGGACCGCGAAGACCGCCACCCCGAAGACCGACACAACGACTCCGACCTTTCCGACCCGGAATCCCCTGGTGCCGCCGACGACTACCTCGAGAAGATCGATACCGACGACGAGCTCGACATCCCAGCCGACATGAGGGCGAATTACTACATGCCCAACCTGCGCTCAGAGGCCAACACGGGGCCCAAGGGTGTCATTGCTGACGCCCAGGCGTTTGAGCAGGCCAAGAAGCAAGCACGCCGATTCACATGGAAGAAGAACGCCGCACCCGCACAGTACAACGTCAATGCCTATCACGACGAGAAGACATCGAGCAGTGATGACGAGGTCGACGAGGGCTTCATGCGCCAATGGCGTGAGGCGAGGTTGAAGGAACTGCAGAATGTTGGTGAGCGGATACGGTCGAGGACCAACAGCCCTAGCCGGAGGATATATGGAAGCATGCCGTTGGTGGATGGTGTGGGGTACCTCGATGCTGTTGACAAGACGGCGTCGAGTACTGTCGTTGTCGTCTTCATCTACAACAGTGATGTATGTATACACATCACTCCATCCGTTGTCCAACTCCTACTAACAGCACCATAGCCATTCGCCGAGGTATCACAAATGTTCGAGAAGGTCATGCACGACGTAGCAAAGCGCAACGACACCGTCCGCTTCGTCAAGATGTACAACGACGACGCCGAGATCGAGGACACCGGTGTTCCCGCTGTCCTCGCATACAAAGGCGGCGAGAAGTTCGCAGACCTAATCCCGCTCGTCGAATGCCTGCCCGATGATTCGGAGCTCAGCGCCGTCGCGCTCGAGACCGTCTTCAGACAGTGAGTTCCTTCCTCCATGCAAACCAACATGCATCAAATGACTAACGAGCATTAGACATCGCATCCTCTGAACAGTATCTCCATACCCACCTGCACGAAACTCTCTTACCATCGCGCACCCGTGATACCCATCTCACGATTGCGCTACCTTCCCCACCGCCGTTTCCCGTCGGTGGTTCATCGGCGCTATTATGTCATCGGATCACCCATCATCCGACCCTGGCAGTTTCACCACGACACCGCTGCATGTCGCCCTACCCCTCCTCATCTCACTACCAAATGATGACAGGGCAACCTCTACGACTAGCTCTCTCCCTCACCACAACGTGAGGGAGTCAAGTCCTTGTAGAGATGGACCTCGCGCACCTTGTCGCCTCCGCATTAACGACCACTATTTCCTTGTCATCTTTCCTCATTTAGCGACGCAATTCTGCTTATACTATGCATTGGGATATTTGCATATTTGCAAAGGCGTCTTTACTACTTGACTATACTGTCATGGTCATGTTTGGCGTTGTTAGGTTAGATGGATGTTGCCGCAGGGCTTTGTACTTGTTACGATACGAATAGTGTTGTGCCTGCTGTTGAGGGCGTGTTGGCGGATACCCAATGCGATAGCAGTTCCTCGAGATGTGCTCTCGATCTATTACAATACCTTCTCCAGTCATGCATTTTTGATGTTCGTCTCGTGCTTTCCTATCCTTGTGCTTTCCTGTTGTGGTGCTTTCCTGTCCTCGTGCTTCTCTATCCTCGCGCTTTCCTGTTCTCGTTCTTGCCATCTTCAGTCTTGGGCAAGTTTCTCGCTTGTGATCGGTCTGTCGCTCCTTCCCGATTTCTTCACGTTCATACGTGTCCTTGACTAAACGCTCACAACGATGCAGCAATCATCTCCAGTTCGGAAATGCATGCGCAACCTGCTCGCGCGAAAATGGATGCGCTGCTGGGCCACATGGGCGATTCGACGAGTTGGCGTCTAGTAAGCGCTCAACCTCTTCAGTATGCTCCTGGGGTGATCATTACCCGCTGAACATTTAAGGGCTGCTTATAAGTATGCAGCAGCGCAAGAAAGGGCTTGCCATGTTGCATCTCAGATCTTGTCCGCTAAGCATTCAATCATGCCTTCATTCATGTCATCGTTCCGCAATCATTCCGCAAGCGGCAAAGCGGCCCCACCTACCTCTTCATCCAGACCCTCTTCTACACCGTCCTCGACTGGTAAAGCGTCAGTTGCACTTCACAACCTCTGCGAGCGATGCTGCAAGTTCTCAAACGAGTGCAGCGCTCTGAATTGGCTGCAGAGACCTCGTGGTCAACCCGTCCCATCATGGCCCTTTTCACGCTTGTGCACCGTTGCTCAACTCTCTCAGTCAGCACCATCTTGCCACTTTTGCAAGATGTTGTTTGCCGAGTTGCAGCATGGAGCTGCACGCGGTATACGCCCGACTGGCGATGAGGGTGTTTATGCCTGTCCCCAAACGGAGAGGAGTGGGACAGAGTTGCTCCTTCACATGAGGCTTTTTAAAGGTGAAATGAGGAGTGCGGAGGATGGCAGAGGCTTTGCTATGTTCAAGTTCCAGACTTTCAATAGTGAGTTCTGGCATATCGCTTCTCTTACAGTTGCTGACGAGGGCGAATAGATACCACCACAGGAGCGTTCAACAGCCACATCACAGCCAGAGAAGCACCCCTCCTCGCTCGCGATAACATCCAGAAAGCTAAGCAGTGGCTGAATACCTGTCTCTCAGTACATACAGCATGTCGCAAATTCCACAGCAGCACCGTCTCCAACCCCCACCAACGACCAACGCGCGTCCTCGAAATTACACCCACCACCATCCGCCTCCGTTGTAACATGCAGAACGAGTGTTTTGACTACCTCGTATTAAGCTACATGTGGGGCACGAATCATGAAGGACAACTCCGCCTACTCCAATCCAATCTCAAGTCCTTCCAAAGAGAGATTCCACGAACCACTTTAGAGGCATCAGATGTGTACAAAGAAGCCATCCGCGTGACTCTCGCACTCGGCTACCGCTTCCTCTGGATAGACAGCCTAGCCATAATCCAAGACTCAGATGAAGACTGGACCTACGAAGCACGCCGCATGGCCATCGTCTACGGCAACGCAACAGCCAACCTCGCTTTCCTCTTCCCACCTCACTCGCCCTCTGCGCCATCCAGTCGCGAAGACCCACGATCTTCGAATCCATGTATCCTCCGGGCTTCATCTTCGCATACAGCTGGGATATATATTGAGCACACGAAGTCCTCACTCCGTCTCGCCCTCGACACGGAGGAGGCGAGTAGAGACTGGCTCGCTCAACGCAACTGGCCGCTCTTCAATCGCGCATGGACGTTCCAGGAGTATCTTCTTGCGCCGCGGACGTTGCTGCTGGGGCATAAGAATCTCATGTGGCAGTGCTCGGAGGGGTTTTGGGATGAATTGCTTGGGCCGATTGCGGAAGCACCGGTTACAGATCCCACGACGACGACGCTACAAGTATCTTTGCACGGCAAAGACCGAGGGAAGGCTCGGTACTTCCCCAACACCATCAAAGAGATCAACACACTCGCAAAGACAAACAGCCTTTCCTCCCCAGCTATTCTCTCTTTCGCACTAGACTACCAAAACCTAGTCAACGAGTACCGCAGCCGCAGACTCTCTTTCTTCAAAGACCGCATCGTAGCTTTCGCAGGCGTAGCGCGTGCGTTTTCCAACCTAGGCCAACTCACCTACCTAGCCGGCCTGTGGAAAGAAATACTACCGATAACCATGCTATGGTACGTCGACAAAAAAGCAAAACGGCTTGTCCGCCTCGAGAATGGGATACCAAATGGCGCGGAGATGAAACCATCGATGTGGACGACGGAGATTGAGGAAGAAGTAGTGCAAACCACATCACCACTCCCAAGTTGGTCATGGTTCTCAGTACCGATATGGAAATACTACCAACTCCACTACCTTTTCGCCGAGGACGAACTAGTCGTCCGGAGTAAAAGCGATTCCGAACCTCATCTCGTCCGCTGGACAGACATGTTCTTTGCCGAAACCAAGGGCTTCAAGTTCGCTGGACACGCGCAAGATCGCATACCGGATTCTAGCCCCTTTGACTTCGCAGGCTTGCAAGTCACGTTCGCTACACTGGTTCTTCCTATCAAAGCAGATTGGCCCGCTGATCTAGCTAACCAGATGAAGCGGTTACAAGACCATTCGCCGCTGTCTTCTCACCGCGGGTTTAGTTGGGACCCAATTCTGGAGTATTACCCTGATGATCCAGCGGGAAGGGTGTCGCCACCTCGTAATGCGGTATATGCGCTGATGGCGGAGTGTCAGGTTGTTAGGACTGCGGGGAAAAACACGGTGCAGCGGCGGTTGGCGGGGTTGATTTTAGTCCCAGGAAGTAAAGAGGGGACGTGGAAGAGGGTCGGGGTGTGGAAGTTGAGGATTAATGTTGTGGGTGTTGGTGTTGATGGAGGTAATATTGGGGAGGTGGCGAGGAGGTGGGGGAAGGTTAGTGTGCTGTCGGGGAAGTGGAAGGGTGTGCTTGTTACGCTGGTGTAGTGTTGTGACGGGTAGATGGGAAATGTGGTTAGGAGAACTGTACACCGGAGGAGACCGTGCCCTAGTGAGCAAAGTTACCTTGGTTGGTGGTCGTGTCTGTTAGTGGTTCGCTGCCCGCTACCAGTACAGGCAACCGCGCACTCATAAATATCATTCTTTCTGCACAAGCCCGCATCATCATCTATCGCAGATCCTCACTAACGTCTGCGAAACTCGACGACTACGATGGAGTCACACAAAAGTATCGCTTTAGAATCTGATGCCATGCCGCAACACGACAATGCAGACACGACTGCGCCGCCTGGTTCTGCCAACCCGACCGACTACGGCTTGCAGCGGATGCTCGATTTGCCGACAGAGCTACGCTGCTGCATACTAGAGCTCCTCATCAAGGACGAGTTCTTCGAAGCCTACTACACACTCCTCGAGCATCCGGAGATGGGCGATTTGGTCCGCTGCAACTTTGCTGCGCAGTTCAAAGCGATCAAACAGCACCGCCATCTCGCTAGCCAGCTTCAGCATATCCTAACAACTACGGCCTTACTTTCGACGCATACAAACCGCCCGCGCTCAAGCGAGCAGCTAGCTGAGTTCTTGAACAGCAATCTACACGATGAAACCCTACGTATATCAGTGGACAGCCCCGGTCATGCTGTCGGCATGCTCGCCGAGTACCAAGCACTCTTGATCGACGCGGATATCCTTACAGATCAGTTCGTTCACCTAGCACTAGGCAATGCAGTAGCTCGGTGGGCCTCATCCGATCAGTCTGACTATGGTACCGATACCCTGTCTGATGTCGAGCATCATCGTGTACTTCGTGCATTTTTCCGGTTGCAACTTTACGCTGTACTCCGGAAACTCTATGGAAAAGGGAAAGGCTTCAAACGGAAGATCAGAAGCTTGTTCTCGATGTGGACGACGTGGGAGTTTGACGAGGTGAGAAGCTTAGCCGAATGGATCAAAATCGAACGCCCATTTCTACCGCGAGATTACGACGCCAGTATCCGCAAGTTGTTTGCCTGTGTGGACAGACATTTCTACAACGACATGGTCCCGTATGTCAGAATTAGACCCGCTCCTTGTCGCGACCGGAACCGACGTTCTGCGTTCGCGAAAAAGTCAAAGACTTGGCTCGACACGCCTGCGACAACTCGTGAAGGTCGAGCTGATGCCCGGAACAAGGATTGGAGACCGCTGGGTCACAGTTACGGATGTTACGTCGGTTATACACAACAGGTGTATCGAGAGCATTGTCTTGCTGAGGGTTTCCCGTTTTGGTGTCGGTATACAAAGCCACATGGGGGATGGTGGCGTTTCCGCGATGCCGAGCTGTTCCAGAAATTCGGGCATGCTGGAGTCTATGACACGCCGACAGGGCCGTGGCGGTGAAAGTCGTGTAGACTCAATGTTGGGCTCTACGGTCGCATGTATCATGCTGTCAGCGCTATATTGCGGACGGAATCACGATGTAGATGTTCCGTAGACTCAACTCTAGGTACGGCTTGGCGATCCTCTCAATCTCTTCTTGTGCTTACATAACGACAACTAGTGCGCTACTGCTAGCGTCCCCGCGCGTTCGCTTCTTCGCGTTTACTCATCAGCAATCCATTTCAAATCATCCTTCAGCGGACTAGAGCCCATGATTTGCGGACGAACACGATCGGCTCCCCAGAAACCCCTGGAATAATGGCCTCTTTCTGCTCGAGGTTAGGTCAGGTCATGCATCGATACCCTGCCATGCCGCCGTGAAACAGCTCAATCGCCGCATCACTCAACGGCCCGACTCTGAACAGCACAGCAACATGAAAGCACAATTTCCACGTCCATTCTGCGTACGGTCCGAACGCAACACATATATGACATCCCGGCGATAACGGGCTTGATATGTTTCGAGCGCATCCATGAAGATCCGGAGGCGGAGGGTTGGATTTATATGCTCATCATAAGGAGGTTGTAGTGGACGCAACAGTCAGTCGTTACTTCGCCCACCCAGCCTAACTTTCGTGCATTTGCGCACGTATCCATTCTTTACCAGAGCATTGCTCGTCCACGTTCATTTTCTATTCATATCTCATCTCGAAGATGAGGCATTTTCACCAGTTGCTCGTCGCTGGAGCGGGCTTTTCTTCAATTGCGCAGGCCGTCAACACTCTCGTCGATGTTGGCTACGCGAAGTATCAGGGAGCCGTCGTTGACTCTCAGCTTGGCGTCTCTGCCTGGAAAGGCATCCAGTATGCGGCGCCTCCTACCGGCGAACGACGCTTCGCAGCCCCGCAGGACCCTATCGTCTCCGGACTCATCAACGCGACTAGGCACGGCGCAACATGCCCACCCAACCGTCCGGATGATTGGACCATTTCTGGAGCCACTGATCGCTTCCACGTCGCGGAAGACTGTCTTTACCTGAGCGTCTATGCGCCTTCGCAGGCCAAAGTCGACTCGAAGCTGCCAGTGGTAGTCTTCTTCCAGGGAGGAGGCTTCTCATCGCAGTCCAGCGCGAACTGGGATCCTACGGAGATTGTCTCCGATGGTCAGGTCGTCTTCGTTCAGTTCAGCTACCGCGTGGGTCTCTACGGTTTCCTCAGCAGTGAAGCGGTCAAGGCTGGAGGTGGCGACGTCAATGCTGGACTTCGCGACCAGATCAAGCTCCTTGAGTGGGTCAAGGAGCACATCGAACAGTTCGGCGGCGACCCTGACCATGTTGTCCTTGATGGAGTCAGTGCTGGCGGATCTTCCGTTGCACTCATGCTAGCGGCCAACACCGGCAAGGAGTTGTTCGCTGGTGGCATCATGGAGTCAGGCGGCTGGGTCACCATGCGCACCCCGGAACTGGGCGAAGAGCAATACCAGTGCTTGCTCGAAGACAAGGGTTGTGCCAATGCGACAAACGGCCTATCTTGCCTGCGCGCATTGAACGAGTCCGCTATCCGAACATCCAACTGCTGGTTCAACCCCAACATCGACGGCGACCTATACACCGACTCACTCGTCAACCTTTTCGAACAGGGCAAGTACGCCAAGGTTCCGACCATCATGGGAACCTGCGCCCAAGAAGGCACCAAGTACAACGCACCAGAGGATCTCAACACCACAGCTGATGCCGTCAAATGGGTAGCCAACCAGGACCCAAGTCTCAGCAACTCTTCCATCTCCATCCTCGATGATCTCTACATGAAGCCGAAGAAGCCCACTTTCCCCGGCAAAGGTCTCTACTGGCGCCATGCCGCTGATGCCATCGGCGACATTGGCACCCACTGCCCCACGCGCAACATCCAAAACGCGATCGCAGCCGATGACGTACCCACATGGAACTACAAGTACGCCGTCCAGGACCCTGCCGACGAGGCCGCCGGCTACGGCGCCTGGCACACCGTCAACGCCTACGCTTTCTGGGGCGTAAACCGCACCGACAACAGCGAGCCAGCCAGCTACTTCACCACCAACGCGCCCATCATCAACCAAGTCCGCAGCTACTGGACGAGCTTCATCCGCAATCTCGACCCCAACACTGACCGCGCCGAACGCGCTGTCGAGTGGAAGCCTTACACTGGTCCCAAATCGCGTGAGAGGCTCTTCATCCAGACTAACAACACTAAGATGGAGCGTATGAGCCCTGCGCAGGCGCTTAGGTGCGATGTTGTTATGCCGATGAGCGATAACCTTGGGAAGCCGGTTGCGAAGGGTGTTGTCACGAATCTGAATGCGAAGTTGGCGAAGAAGGTTAAAGGGGCTAGTGAGAGTACTGCGTGGAAGAAGGGCAGGAAGGATGCTAGGGAGCTTGCGCGGGACGATTGAGTGGGTGAAAGCCGCATGGACAGGTGCTGTCTAATCTTCTAAAGTTGAGAGGCGGCTTCTGAGCACTATACCTTTTACTTCTTGTACATATCCTTCGACCTATGTCCTTCTCTTTATACTCTTCCTTCGTCGCAGCGCAAACAACGCGCAGCTATATCCATAATCTCTCCATACAGGTGCTGAGGTCTCATAACTAAAAGCTTGCAGATGTGCAAAACACAAAACTCATCGCCTTGACCTTCGAGTGAGAAAGGTTGAGAACAAGGTTGCACAACCGAGAATCCAAAGTGGCTTCGTATACTTGGGGCCGCAGCGCGCACCCACGAGGTAGTCATATCTCACCAGTTTTATTGCAATGAATTCTTGATATATTTCAACGTTTCTTCGACGCACGATATTCTAACCAATGCGAAACTATACTTTGAAGTATACACTAGTAACACTACATTGCCGGGCTGCGCGGCAAGGGTTCTGAGAGCGATGTATACCTTGAAGTTAGGATAGATTAAAGACAGACTACCAAAAGAATGCGTCTGGTAGATGGGGTTGGAAATCGTGTATATTTTCTTTTAATCTAGAAGACCGTGTCTTCGCCGTTTGGGATAGGCGATCAACCTTGCAGAATTGAGCGACTATCTGTTGCAGCTTTTCGGAGATTTTGTATCGATGTCGTAGTTAATCTATGACATAGGTTGATCATGGAGCTATTGGTAACGGCTGTTGAACATACCAACTTGGCCCACCACACTACACGATACTCAGACCAGCGTGAGCTTCTCCATCTTTACTCCTTCGAGGCGCAAGAAAACCGATGGATCGCTTCGCTGCCACTGTGTTGACGTATGCTCGTGTCCTGGAAAAGGCTCCTCCTCATCATCATCGAGCTCCTCGTCTGACGGCAGATTCATATGAGCGTCCCAGTGTCCAATACATTTCCACGTACCTTCCTCCTCACCAGGTATCAGCGCTAGGCCTGCGAAAACGCTTGCCGGATAGAAAACATCCCGAGTTTCAACTAGAAGAGCCAGCAGAACTCGCTCTGGAGGTTGGGTGTTATATTCGATATCGTCATAGTATAAGAAAGTCCAGGTGTGTTTTTCGCACTCATGAGGCCTGATGTAGAAAGATGCAAGCTTCTCCTCTAAGCAAACACAGTCAGGCCGGTAATGATTGTCGATTTCTATCCGGGTTTCCTCGAACGT